TCAAAGCATTACCCGTCGAACGGTACCACCAGCATCTCGATCCGATCATCCGTTTAGACGCAATTCCAATTGTATTGGCTCGATGACCTTTCAGAGCACGGGTTTTTGGCAACGTAAAATGGCGCCTTGTCGGCTTCACCTGAATGGAGGTGGTTGCGGGTCCAGTTTATTTATACGTCCGTGATTACAACACACAAAAATGATGCAATTACATTAGACTCGGGCGTTCTAGATATTAAGTCAAATGGTTAACTGTTTAGGTAGGTAGGTACGCATGTCGCAGTCTAGCTAAAAAGGTGCGAGCAATTTATCAATTCAACGTTGTTATTGAACGGGATGGTGCTTGTATACAAAATATGAACGCGTTTGCATAAATGCAATGCTCACGTGGCATCATCCATTTGTATTTAACTCGAAAGAACGCTTAACCCGCGCCCCGTAGGGCTATCGGCGGACCCTACCACCCATAGGGGAGGGGCCGTTTCGGCCCCCCCTAAGATCTCGGAAATTTACCGGCCGATTTTCAAAATTAAAGCGTTGTTCGATAGCCCCACCGGGGAACTACCTTGTGACCAAATTTCATTGATCTAGGTCAAACCGATGACGTCACAGGTCAGGTCAAAGGTCGGATTTTCACCGTTCACAGGCATTTCAAGAGATGTGTTGTGAAATCGAGTAAATTGGTAATTTATTGAAAACCATCGATGGTACATTGTTCGTCAAACACATACTTTGCTATCTGAGGTCACTGATACCAGGTCAGGTCACAGCGAGATCAGGTCCCCGGGGGTCACAATATGAAAATGTCGTGTGATACATGTTTTATGGTCCATTTTAGATGACAAATGCGATTATGTGGGTTAGGCAGCCTTTGGGGCCAGCCTGGGTCACATTTTGGTGAAGATCAGGTCAAGGTCAGGTCAAATTAGGTCAAATTTCAAAGTTGATATTTTTGCATAAAATGGGTATCGATTCGCTGCAGCTCGTCACGGGGAGTCTAATGGTGGTCTTTGTTCTGCTCTACGAGGTCTAGAATTGCCAAAAATTAAGTTTGAAAATTTGACGTCATCATTTTTGAACAGTTTTTTCGCTATAACTTGGCGAAAAAACGAGGTATCGATCTGAAATTTGGTATGTGGATAGAAGACGGTAGGTGCTATCACATCTATTCCGTTTTTTTCGAAAATCAAAAAAACTTTTTTGATTCCTTGGCTAATATATCCAAAAAAATGCTTTTTTGATTTTTGGGGGTCAAAACCCAAAAATCTCAAAAATCCGAGATAGCAGTTTTGTAGCCATGTCAATTCTTCACCTTTTATGTCTGATCATTTTTCTTTATCTTCAAAGCTGTAGGCCTGACAGGTCTTCTCGCGAAGGTCTTTTTTTCGGTCGAAAATGACAGAACATGACGTCATTCTGACGTCATTTGTGGCCGACCTATCATAGCATCTGGAAAAATTTCTTGGTCACAATGTGTAAAATTGATGCCCAGAGGGGTCCTGAAAGTTTGGTGGCGATATCTCCAGCCGTTTAGGAGATATCGACGGAAAAGGACCGGGAGGGGCCGTTTCGGCCCCCCCCCCTACGGGGCGCGGGTTAAGACGCATTTGTTAGCGACCGTTGATTATTCATGAGGCAGAACATAAAACAGTGTGGGTTTAGCTGTTATCGGGAGATTAAGTACCGACAGTCGTAAGATGCATTGTGCAATCTATCTTCCTACGGTGAACTTTTCTTAGAATTGCAGCGTCATGAAAGGAGCGTCGATTATGTACTTGCGCGTTTAACGACGCAAGAGAGTGCACCAGCGCAGTTACTACAGAGCTACTGATCGATCTTGTGAATGCAACTGTACCGCGGATAGGGTGAGCTAGCTCGTACCTGTAACTACCTGAGCCAAGTGCCGGATCTATAGTGTTCCATACTTCGACAAAATGCCTGCGTGCGCTGCTTATTATATACAACTTCTCATCTACCCAGACTCGATATCGGTAATCAGGGTTCACTCAGACACGCCTGTGAAAGCACTTCAGTACCGTGTAATCCGACGGTGAATGCAAATCAGGCGGGGCGAGACGGAGTCTCCCAGGGTGCCGTCACTGCACGGATGGCCCAGCGAGGTACCTTCCCTGTACGAACGGCCCGCCGCCACGGGTGACCGCTCTGTCGGCTCGTGCGTCACTGGGACCAGGTGGACGGGCGCCGATATGTATCGGACGGTGTACCGGCGGGTCACCTCACAGACTGAGAGGCGGAGACCGGTGTCTGGAGGTCCATCGGCGATAACTCTTCCCGGCCTACAGCTAACAGGTGCGGCTTATCGGCGCCGGCTCGCCCGACACAGCAGGCCTGAGGCCACAGAGTATCCCTCGGATGGCAGAGGGACTGAGGAAGTGCTACAGGCTTTGAGAAACTGCGCATGGTTCCTATTTACCGATCCCATAGAATCGCTGCCAGCAGTCTTCATCCAACAACACTCAAGGGTGCAATCACTCTCAGCTCTGGGTGCTGACTTTGATCAACATCTCAGGCGCTCCTCTAGACGCCACTGACACCCAGGGAGGGCGGGGAACACGGGAAGGGGCGGGGGAAGGGCAGATAGGAAGCAGTGATGTTGCCACACTGCAGGGAGAAACGGCGACGGACCCGGGACCAGTCAAATGCTACCAGCGGTGCATCCTGCACGCTGCGCCCCTGAAAACGGACGACTCGGCCCTCGACGTCCATGCTCCATTCATCTTACACTGCACTGGCCAATAACACAATCAAGCTAGCAACAATACGGCGATTCAACTGAAAACCGCAGTACCATTGAAGGCACCAATGCTGTGGGTGCATCGTGTCAATGTGTGGTGTGCCACCCGGCGACTCCAGATAATCCATGACGTGGAAGTAGCGATTCCCGAAAAAGGGGGCGCCAAAGAGGCATGGATTGACGTGATAGAATGAGGAAAAATCAGAGGATATTTCATCATCCATTTGGAAAGACCAGAAAATAAAATAACTGAGCTCCAAATGGTGATACGGTGTTGCCTCGAAGTTCAAAAATATTACCACCAAATGAAAAAGATTAGAAAGTGAACTCACAAATATGTCAGAGGGAAAAACGCGGTTAAGAAAAGCTGACTCGTACCATGATAAATAATGTGAGTGCGGTCGAACACGAATAACAGGCTCGGCACGGAGCCCATTATGATCCAGCATAGCCACAGAACATAGGTATCATAAAAACTGGATCAAGATGGGTAGCGCAATACTGAAATAAATATCAAACATACGTGATGTCATAGGCATCTACAATTAATTGCTTGCTTAAAATTGGTATGAACCTGAAAAGCAATGCTTCTACCTCAAACCTAAATAAATGATCGAGAACTATACAGCTCTGGAGTCTCTGGCCTTCGATAAAGTCCATAGTGACTTATCGGTAGGTACTGTAGCATGACTGGTTATACGGTGCACAATACAATACCCACGTTTATCTGATGTCGCCATCCTTCGCACGATTGGATTAGTAACAGCGTACTGCACAGGCCTATGCACAGGCGCGGAAACCGGGGGAGGGGCACCGGGGGAGGGGCAGTGGGGGCAACTTGCTCCCCCCCCAAGTCGGGGGTCGTGGGGGCGATGCCCCCACAACTTTGAGACGGATTACCGCACTTTTCTGCAAATGTTTTTTTTTGTTGAAAAAGCCAAGGGATGAAAAATACGTGGCCTAAGACCGGTGAGAAAACTAGCTTTGGAGGTACCCTAGCCCCTAGGTTGATCTCTATTATGGCATGCCCCCCCCCAGTCTGAAGTAGTTCCCGCGCCCCTGGTTATATGTACACATCCTTTTAATATATACCATTCGCAAATAAACCGGGTAAAAACATCCTAAAACTAACAATGTCAAACGTCCTCATGGGCTGGTGCACTCATTGCAAAAAACTTCCGGTGGTAATTACAATGACTTTTAGATCAACCATCACTCTGAATGTGAACATCGAGCCCATCGAGCACTGTCCACGGTTCCGTGTTCGAAAGGAAGACCAAAGCCAGAAATATAAATAACAAGCTTTCTGCTTTCAAGCTAAGGTGTATAAAACCGAGAGCGTAAAGAGTTATGATATATGCTGATAAAATTGTGGTGAAAACACTTCTTGAAAGGTTTCGTGACTACATAATACATATTCAGCATGAAACATTGAGAGATGTGACAGGTGAAGAATGTTGAACCTTTGAGCGTGATAAATAATCCCGCATTTTAGCACGCCGATTATTGCGCTACAACGGATTATTCACATAAAATCCTTCCTGGGTTGTACGTCAATAGACACGAAACATTTCATATAGAATATTACCCTGACTCCAAATGTCCAACAACATTTCGTTTAGCTATTATTTTCTCTAGGACACATCCACTCAGTAAAAACACTCCCTGTAGACTTGTTCAGATCAGCAGGGGACAATTCGAAGCTGAGCAGGAAAACGGCGTGTTTTCGCAGTACACGTGTAAGCTCGTGCCGGAAAGCACAGATTTGTTGTAACCGACCAATAATCAGTCGTGGAAGATGGGGCGAAATTGATGCATGTGCCAATAACTGAGGGCTGTGCTGAGCAGACAGCAGTTCCGTCAGCCACGCGCTGACATTCATGCTGCAGACCAAGCTGCAAATGGATGGGTGCAATTGTTGCAAATGGATGGGAATGCATTCACAACCTAATTCAATATACCCTGTTCACAAGTTTTTGTTGTTGTTGAGTTTTTACACAAGTTGAGTTTTATGAAATGAATGCACCTGTTACTGGGTATGCTGCCCGTTGGTGTTGAATTGAAATAAAGAATAAAGAATAAAAACTGCCAACACATGCAAATTACAAGCCATTCCAAATGACCACCTTATGCTTCATTTGGTACCTTATACCTGGCCCGAGGTCATCTTAGGACTAACTTTCGCGGCACAACGTCCGAATAACCTGATCATTATTATGTTACCACCACGAGATATCCAGTAGGTACCAAAACATCTGCCACTCCCTGAAAAAAGATCAAGTGAAATAAAAACGAGGTCTTCATTACTGTCCAAAACAGGGCGAAAACAGACCACTGGTATTCTGGTGAGGAACAACACGTCTGCCGGTGCGACAAAACTTCGCGACACGACGCGAACATGACCGGACGATGTTCAATGGCGTCACGTCGGTTCCCGTCGCGGTCGCGAACCGCAGCCGGTGGTCAGCCGAGCGAACGACGGAGAAGCGCAGCCGCACCCAGATCAGCCGCCGTGTCCCGGGAGGCCGCACTGCCCGCCGCTGCAGCGTCCTCCCCCGCCCCAGCGGCGGCCGGCCGGAGTCGGCACCGGACCGGCTCTGCATATAAGCCGCGGCGGCGCCGGTGCGGGCACACTCTGCAACAATGTCTCCCCGTGCTCTGATCCCCGTGGCGCTGCTGGCGGCGCTGCTGGCTGCCTCCGTGCTGGTCGCGGACGGCGCCAAGCATGGAAAGCCCGGTGAGTACCGACCCAGCCGTGAGCCGACATCAAGATGTGGCACACCATGCCGTTCATATTTATGGATTGCTGGAAGTGATATGCTGTGCTTGATAACCTCAATCATCAACAATCAGTCGGCACTCTTCTCGACATCTAATGGCTTCAGACAGTGAAAAATGTCTTGATAAATTGGTGTCGTGACTTTAAAGCTGGCGAGATAGGTAGCCCATGCCGAAAAGCGATGACTCTGGATACCATTCGGTGACCACCATTGACATATTCCTTGACCTGCGACAGCCCGGCTGGTTCCGGGCCAGGAGGAGTGGCCCGAGAGGGTCGGCTGTCCCACCGGCTACGTGCCCGACCTGAGGCCCAAGGCCCTGAAACAGCGCCGCCCGGGCTACATCGTCTGCGCCAAGGGCAACATCGAGAACTGCGTGCACGGCACCTTCTGGTATCTGCTCGACCGGCGCTTCTGCTTCAAGTGCAACTGCATCAACGGCAAGGCCGACTGTCTCTCCTACACCTGCCCGCCGCCCAAGCCGATCTTCCGTGAGTATAATTACTTGCACCATGATAGCGATAAGCACACTGGAAAAACTTGCGTCCGAGCAAGATGAGAGAATCGAGGAGATGCCTCAGTTGATAAGCGTACCTAAATCAGAATTTAAAACTCCTGACCCGAGTTTTCTGAAACCATCAAAGAACAATGTTTATTTCAATGCCTATAGACAATCACGGTAACACCTGCCGATCGAAAACTGGATGCTTCAATGGGTTCAACAACGCATTCTAAAAGAATCAATTTTCAAAACTGTGACTGAGCGCTAAACAAGCTGTAAATGCCATCTCTATAGGAATAAAAAGACAATCGAGTGGACTGGGAACACTTGATATCAATATTACAGGAATAAGACCACAACAAACTCAAACTACTGAAAGCATTTCAATTCAGTTCTTTATGATGAGAAGTTGATAATAATGGAGCATTTGAATTCGCTCGCACGTTCAAGTTTGGGATACCTAGGTATCGCCATCTGGAGTTCAAGAGAAAGGGTCTTTTTCTGATTGCTGCTCGGTAACTGACCACGACGTGTGTTGTCTGATCTACCTATACCTATCATATTTGATCATTAAAATGGCAACCGAAAAAAAAAATGAAACAACCAGGCAGCTGATTAGAAGGCTGCGATCGTCTCGGCTGTGTGGCCGTCACTGTCAGCCTATCCGACTGACCCACTGCTATCTGTCCGCCCGCAGCCACCAGCAAGCGGTACCAGTGCCGGCGAGACCAGGTGAAGGAGTGCCCCAAGAGCAGCTGCACGTTCCTGGCCAGGGACCACCGCTGCGTGTTCTGTGACTGCCACTAGTCGCGCTCGGCCGGCTGACAGCCAGGGGATGGGAGGGGCACCGGGACGGGCTTCCCGGGAACGGAGCACGCCCGCTGGCGGGCGACGGGGCACATTGTTACAGACCCGCTGGTCGGGACAACTACCCATTTATCGTTGTTGACTCATTCAATGAGATTACTATTGAATAACCTGGAGAGTTTTATGTTCAAAGCTTAATTACAAGGCCACATGTGAATTGTGTATATCCAGCGCATATCTCTTCGTAGTGACCTGCACTTCGAAAATGCTGCGCTTATAAAAGCTAAAATAGCCTCTGCACTGGCGCTGAGCGTTGCAGAAAGCAGAAGCTAAAATAAAACGATGCGAAGGCCATGCCATGAATTTGCTGGTGCACACCAAATACAAAATACTACCTGATCATAAACTGTTTCAACAGGTGTCTGACCAGAACCGCGTTTGAATAAACCGGTCCAGTGTCGGGGGACATTCACAGCAGCCGCTCTCTCCAAGGGCAGCGGTCGGCATCAAACAGACTCTAATCGCGCCCGGCCCGGTGCCGTGGTGGCAGGGACCGCCGCCACCCAGATCCGACTTAGCGCCGCAGAGCAGAGCGCCCCATTAATCAGAGCACGTCTGGAACAGGGACCCGACTGCAGGTGCACAGACTTAGCGGTGCCCGCCGCGGATCTCAACCGCATTTTTCTCGGGGACTAGTGTTGCCGAGTCAGGTGCCTAACAATCCCTTAAATCACTGCAGAACGATTTGAAACCAGTTCAGGTATCCAAGAGGAAACGCATTCTTTCTCTGTATTGAAACATTAAACTGTTAACATTTCTAAAGTGCCCTTGCATATGAATATCACGTTTGATGAGCTGAAGCCATAAAAAATAAACAATTAAACTCAAAGATAGATAGATCCCTTATGTATTTAATGCAAAGATGTGTACATGGCAATTCCCTATTGCATGATGTTCATGGGTAACTCTATTCAAAGCCATGCCATTCCCGCGCTGAAATGATACAACTCAACTGACACATCGCGTGCCTCTTCCCGAGACACCGCTGAACTGACAGATCAGATCATCACAAACCACTAAAACAAGAACCCAACAAAGTAAGGCGACATCCGATCCGCGCAACGCACCTATGACAGAACATTATCAAAAGATCACAGACCCCGCCGTGACTGGTTCCCACCCACGACGCTAGTGGAGACGCTCCCCCCTGACTGGAGGACGCCCGCGTCCGCACCGCCAGCGGCTACGTCTCCTGCTTTGGCTTCAGCCCTCGGATCGACAGGTCGTACACCACCTCCTCCACCTTCTTCAGGTCGTACTTGAGGCCGTCGAAGCGCTTGCGTAGGTTGTCGTTCTTCAGGTTGAGCAGTCTGAAGCCGGCGCTGAGCTCGCTGAGGAACTGCGCCACCCGGAACGGGCGCAGGTAGTCGCCCGCCGTGACGCTGTTCACCACGAACCGCGACTGAAACACGTAACGAACGGTTATCTATCGTCACGGCAGTCATACGGAGACAACGACAGATATGAGAATAAAGAATTGTATGAAGAAATACGGAGCCGAAACCGCAAAAAAAAAACACGTAGCCATTATAGCGAAACGCACAATACCAAAGGGCTCTCGATAACTTGGTCAACCATTTGGGTTGAAAGGTATTTGCGAGAACAGCAGTGTGTGGCTTCGATAGACTAGTGTTGCTTTGTTCATTTTCAATACGCAATGCGCACTTGATTCAATAAAGTACAAACATAACCGATAAGCAGCATTTAATTCCTAGCATACGTACCAGTTCTGAAGACAACATAAGTAGTCCGGCCAGGTAATCTTCAAGGTCCAGAATGAAACCATCCTCCTTGTTGAGAGCAACTGCAGAGTACACGAGATGATTCAAAGGAAATTATGATGAAAAGCAACTCGTGATGAAATCTATAAATGGATGCTAGTCACCCAAATGTCTAGATTTTAATATGGGCATATGGCCCATTTATAGAAATGGGGAGGAAGAAACCTCCGGTCGCGTATGACTGCGCATTAAGTTCAGAACTGAAATAGCTGACTTTTGAGATGCCAACACTCAACAGAATATGATCGGCAATAAACGTGAAGTCAGCTAATCTCAGCTTCGACTAAAGTAACCCACAGTCGAAGCTACACACGTATAACATTCAGGTGGGACAAATTAACCCACGTCCTTTGTGTGTGTGTGTGTGGGGGGGGGGCGACGATCGGCTGTTATAAGGTGGTCGGGCCGGACAGCGTCGAGCCGGCATTGTCGCGATACGCTCGATTGCGAGGATGGGAGACAAAGTGGAACTGTGCGATGGCGAAAAGCGGCCCGGATGGTTTGGGCCTGTCGGTTGAAAGGTGGCCGGGACGATACCGCCCGGTCGGTTGTGGAGGGTTTGGGATGGTGGCGCCTGGTCGGTTGTGGAGGGTTTGGGATGGTGGCGCCCGGTCGGTTGTGGAGGGTTTGGGATGGTGGCGCCCGGTCGGTTGGGGGGGGGGGTTGGGATGGTGGCGCCCGGTCGGTTGGGGGGGGGGGTTGGGATGGTGGCGCCCGGTCGGTTGGGAGGGTTTGGGATGGTGGCGCCCGGTCGGTTGGGAGGGGGGGGGGTTGGGATGGTGGCGCCCGATCGGTTGGGAGGGTTTGGGATGGTGGCGCCCGGTCGGTTGTGGAGGGTTTGGGATGGTGGCGCCCGGTCGGTTGGGAGCCAGGACGGTGCCGCCCGGCTGGTCGATAAATGCCTGGATGTCAGCCAGAACGGACCGAACGGATCAAACGGAGGCCTGGTGGCACTAGCGCAGATGAGACTAGCGCACCCACCTCCAATGGCGTCGGCTACCATCTGCTGCGTGGCCAGCTGCTCCGTCTCCAGATAGACGAGCAGCGCCGCCACAAACGCCATTCGCTGCGTGACGAACCGCCAGTGGTCGTGAAACCTGCCGGACGGCGCAGCGTCACACAGGCGAGCACACCCGGGCGGGACCGGCGGGCAATGCGGCTAAATGAGACGCTAGAGGTAACCTGGTGCGGTGACTAAAAGGTTTATGGGCACAAATTTCTCAACAGGAATTGTTTATCTGGTTTTGTCGTCCTTACATTGAACGACATAATATTCAACCCAGTTTCCTCTATTTTTATAGCCATAGTTAGATGTACAAAGGTACTTCATGTAATAAACCGGAAAGGATTGCGGTAAGTTTCATCAACACTTATCACAACACAATGGATCCTGGCTGAACACAAATTGATTACAACAGATCCCCATACACCATCAAAGGTAACCAACTAAATATAACATATTAGGCATACCGACGAGATACCAAGCAATACGAGGAAGCTAGCTATACGATTCGGTCGGCCTAGCGCTAATTGACTTGCTTGCAAATGCACTTGTAATTTAGTTGCTCACCTGTAATACTGGTCCTTCGGTACCTTCTTCGAGAGAGCAGCATAATGCTCCTTTATTGTCGGGTACAAGCCCTTGGCTTTCTCACATATGGCAGGAACTGGAAAACGCCAAACAATTATTTTGGTAACCTCACACAGGCATTACCTACATAAACACAATCGTGAAATCGGTAACAAAAACATATCTACCATTGCTTAGCCAAAGTACAATTGCAAAGTAGGTAGTAGGATGTCCTAAGAGTCCCTCATTCAGAAAAAAAAACTAAAAAATATGTACACAAACAAACACAAAACACTAAAAAAATCAAGACTATGAATATCATATGGGAGTGAAATGATGAATGCTTGTGAACAACATTCATTGGGCAGTTTGAGACGCGTCAATTGGGAATTTCCAATGTTCAGGATTCATAATAAATAGAGGACAGAAGGGTCTGTTAAACAGTGCCGTCTCTCAGTAGCCAGCAGCCGGCGACTCACTGTTCTGAATGCCGTCCTGCTGGTGAACCGACTGCAGCAGTGTGGTCATCTCCCGGGCCGTCTGCTCCAGCTCACGGACCTGAGAGCGGATCTCCTGACAAACATGGGCAAAACAGGTGATGCACTGTCTCACTGCAGCAGCCGAATGATTTAACTTCCAACAGACAACCAATTGAAGAGTTGATTAAAAGCACATTTACTGCCACCAGGTGCCAGCATAAGTCTTATACCTATCTATCTGAAGTCTGGAGAGTAGATATGTATAGTGTATACCTATATGGTATCAGATGCAGTCAATGCTATTGATTTCACTTCTAGCACCCAGCAGCTCAACGAGATTTTAAACAACAGTCCTTACTAAAATGTTCTCTCAACTCAAACTGAGCAATAGTATTAGCAAGACATTGTTATTTTTCCAGCTGAGAGCATGTAGCAGTAAGGCCCCAGTCGAAGAAGGTATCATGAAAAAAATTGTCAAAATGCTTACCTCTCTTAGGCTTTGTTCATCTTCCATGTATGCACTATACTGCAGGAAGACATCGCTCAGATTATTCGAGCTGTCCATTATCTAAAAATAAGAAAAAATGGATGTTTATTAAATATATCCATGCATAGGTAACTGTAGCCTTTAATAGGTATGTACTATTTTCACATTAAAGTGACCATCTCACCTTAACATTAGTTTTGAGTTGAGATAGCCAAAATGGGGTCCCTGGCTTGCACTAACCGCTTAGGGTATCTACATATTTACTTTAGGTCCGCCATCCGCAAAACAGACGGATTAATAAAAGCCATTCACAAGATATTCTATCTAAGGCCTCCTGATTTCACTTCTGATACTTATTCCTTTTAGAAACCAATTTAAAAGCACCAGTACACTATTTACTATTTACCATCACCACCAACCTATCCCTCTCACTTCTGACCAGAACTGTGCAGTGCGCGCATCAAAAGACCGTCCAAGGTTGAGCGAATTTACGAATGATGCTAAGTTGTTAAAGAAGTGACGTCACAGGATTGAGGAAATTTAACGACGATACAAAATTGTAAGGAAAGTGACGTCAAATTACTTGTTGCCATGGCGCAAAAGAGGGATTCGACCAATGATAGCTTAATTTATTCTGGGTGAAAACAGCCATGGGAAGATTTGTCTAGATGCAAATTTATCCTAGAATCACGAATACATAATAAATGTGATGTTTTAGCTAAATCAAATTGAAATATTGAAAGTCAGAAGAATGATAATTGTCGCGCAAATTTGAGTTGATTGTGATAGGTGTGACAAGGCAGTATGGCGAAACTTACCGTTCTATCTTCAGGAATGTTTAGATCAATTGTAAGGCAGGGGTAGTATGTAAATCAAAATTAATAAAAATTAATGGATCTTTGTGTAATTTGACCTGTCAAGGAGAGCGCCCAGCGCACAACACAGACCAAAACCACGGACCAAAACAATGCCGAGCGCGCGCACACGCGCGTGGGAGTCACTCTGCGCCGCATATGTCACGATTGCGTCGTTCTCACTATTTCGCTGTCCGCTATTCCACTGCCAGCCCAGAAAATACAATTCAACCGCTAACCCGCAGCCATAACCTGTGAAATATCGACCATAGCTCAACAACCACCACAAAGTCAATCGAGACTAGTGACATCATTCGAAGGTGGGACAGCCGTAGCTTTGGTCATGCCGGCTAATGTGAATGTAAAAAGAGTGTGCTTGAGGTCTCACCAGTGAGTGATCACTGATCCTCACTGATCAGTGAGTGACGCCGGTTTAGGCGTCGTGCCTTACGGGCACTGACTGTGACCAAACTGTGACCACGACTCATCCCTGTGGTTTGTGAGGTGAACGATCCGTGCGCCCCGTGGGAAACGAGGTGGGCTAGCTGGTTATCCGATTTAACTTGGGTCACCTTTCTGGTCCAAGGTGGCAGCTTACCGTGACTAGTCGCACCGTCAAAGATCGTAATGCGAATGTCTGTATGAGTAACACCGCCAAAAATTGACAGTTCCTTCATTCTATTACTGGCGAACGATAATTCACCTGCAACAGGGTACGTGAAACGCCGTTGCATAAATGATTGTTCGTACTTGCATGCATTGCCGAAACATCCGGGATACATCACGATGAATAGCGTCCAGTTGCAATACAACGCGTCAAAGATCACAATACAAAAAAGTCGTATGAGCGTTCAACGGATAGCGAGCACGCGTAGGCGACAGAAATGTTGACGGTTGAGCGCACAGTTCGAACAGTCTTCCACAATACGCAAAATATCGGCAGCGTGGAATGAGAATCTGAACGCGACACTTGGTTACACGCCACGGTACGCACACTGCACTGACATGAGTATCACTCTCGCACAGAACTATCACAGCCGTGGAACTCGCGTTCAGCCTCTAACCGCTAGGAATCCTAACGGCGCTCGGTGCCCGTCTAGCAGCCGTTGTCCGCCGTTGGTGCGATAATTTCCCCAACCGCTGCCAGACGGCGCTGCACTCGCGCCAGCCCGTTCCTGGGAAAGAAACAGCTCAGTCAGGATGCAGCAAACAAGAGCCAGCTAGGCGGAGGCCAGCGGCACATGGAGGTAATACAGGTCGGGACTCATCACACGGGTCGCCGATATCGGAACTATGCAAGAAAATCTGACACTTTGCTGACCGAATCACCGCAAACAACATCCATTATTTACTTAAGAAATTTCTTTATTACGGAGCGAGCGAAGCGAGCGGAGTCTTTCCTTAGATTAACGGAAATTTCTGAGTATGAGCGGCCGGCCGGCCGTGCGGACGCTTTTGCGAGGCTTATATCTCAGCAACCACTTGACCGATTTACACGCAGTAATTTTTGTAGGGTAGCTCCATTCCTTCTACCAAGTATTGGACTATTCCCGATGCATGTGGGTGACCCATTTTGCACGTGCCACGTGCAGAACGAAGAGGTGTCAGTTTTGTAATTGTTGCAATATCTCGGTAACTACTTGGCCGATTGCGCTGAAAGTTGGCATGTAGGTAGGCACCCACTAGGCACTGCATATCCATGTGCCAGAGTTGGGGTGCTGCTGCACGTGCGCACGTGCAGGGGTCGTTTCCAGATCTGGAGAACGGCTGGACCGATGGCGCTCAAATTTGGTACACGTTTAGGGACCAGTTAGTAGGGTGCCGTGCACAAGTCAGTTGGGACCCATTTGCACAAATCAGTTGGGTCAGTTGGGACCCATTTTGCACGTGCGCACGTGCAGGGTGCCGCTTCCAGATCTCGAGAACGGCTGGGCCGATCGTGCTCAAATTTGGCACATCGCTAGAGACCGGTTAGTAAGGTGCCATGCACAAGTCAGTTGGAGGTACCCCCTCGAAATTTCGCACTTGCAAGGCCCACCCTCTCGCTCGCTCCGTTAATCGCCCCAAAAGGCGTTATACTGGTCCTAGTAGGCGTAGCCTGACTCGTGTCCCACTAGCCCCACTGACGCCATCCAACTACATTATTAGTCCCACAAACGCCGCTGGACCACCTTCGTCACCCAACCACCAGAGCATAAGGTCCTCTCCTAGTCTGCTAATACGATCCTCGCCCTACCTGAGGACACGACCCTCTCCCCACCTGGGGAAAATATCCTCCTCCTACCTGGGGAAAATATCCTCCCCCACGTGGGGACACGGTCCTCGCTCTACCTGGGGACACGACCCTCCCCCTACCGGAGGATGGGGCGGTCCTCTCCCTACCTGAACATACAATATTCTCGCCACCTGAGTATACGGTCATGTCCCCACCTGAGTAACCAGTATAAGCAGTCCTCTCCACTCGAGAGAAACTGCATAGGACACTTACCCCACTCGAAGACACGGTCCTTTCCCCACCCGAAAAATACACTTCTCACTCCACGTCTTGACCGTAATGTCCTCTCCCCCACCTGAGTATGCGGTCCTCTCCGACGCCGCGGCGCAGCTCAGTCCTGCGCACGTGGTGCTCTAGGGTGGGCAGCAGGTCACGGGTGAGCGCCGGCGCCAGCACGGCCAGCACCTCGAGCAGCTGGAACACGCGGCCAGAGTGGAACGCCAGCTGGCGATCCAGGAGACGCTCCACCGCCGACGACAGCACCGGCCTGGTGAGAACACGGAGTTGTTTAACGGCCGGATAGTAGGCTGACCGTGAACATAGGAGCTGGGGAGAGTCAGAGGGCCGACAGCACAGGTCGGGCGAGTTAGCGAGTCGGTGCTACTATAAATTACACTCTGTTGTACTAGACTAGATGAAATAGCATACACTCGCTGAAGAACTGCACAGGCACACGATGTAGAGCGGCCTACTCCGAGGTCGATCTGAGCCGGCCCGACGCGTCACCATTACAGCCGTCGATGGCGACTTAGCTGACCTGACGCCGTCGGCCTGCGAGCGGCAGAGCAGTTTGAGCAGATCGGTGGCGGCTCGCTTGGCGCGGGGCTCCTCAAGGCTGAGCAGCAGCTCCAGCAGGGGCGAGGCCGTCCGTCGGGCGACCAGGGCCGTCAGGTGACCGCCGCGGTCCGCCGATACCAGGGCCGACAGACACTGGGCCGCCTGCGGGGAGCGGGGCCACGGCGTCAGATCGGGAGCAGACTGAACGACCGGGCATGTCGCGGGAAAACGGTCGCCATTAATCCACTGTGAACCTAATGTTTGATCACCAGTGAACAGCGATGAAAATATGTCTTACTTGCAGCAGGCTGTCGTGGAACTTTCCACCGATCTTCTGAAGGAACGTTTCCGCCATCATTTGCATGACGAAATCCTTGAACTGTTCAGAGACTTCGTCCGATCTGAATACGTCCTGTAAGAAGAGCTTGTCAACTTCCGGGGTATTTGTGACTTGCTGAATTTTTAGTAGCACACCAGGGACGCTAACTGCCTTTACTGGCATGCCACATGTATACTGTATACACCACCCAGCTGTCAATCATTCAGTTGACAACCAGTTATGAGCAGTTGCTCGATAGACTCCAATTCTGACGAGAGCATATTATACCTCTTTCCTTTATGACAGCCCGTGACCATATAGACCACCACTACCCGAGCCCCTTCCTCGGCCGTAACCCCCCATCCCAGCCCGATCCACCCACCAGCAGGGGGTGCGAGTCGCTCGGAAACCGGTACATGTAATGCACCAGCGTGTCCTTCACGAAGCGCCGGTAAGACTTCTCCGTGGCGTACTCGGCCCGAGCGATACCGGCCAGGAACTGTCGGCGCAGCCGGGAGGGCGCGAGTCAGTATCAGTGGGTGTGGGATTTGTGACGGAAGCGGAGGCAGCGAATAACGAATAAAATACTTTCAAAAAAGCGAAGAGTAAAACGTCAACAATGTTTTCATTACAGCATGAGCAGTATAGCAATATTTGTATGCACTATAACCTTACACAGCTTCTAAATCTCTAAAGCGGCAAAGTAAGTATTCAACTGAAAACAGTTTTAATTAATGACTGATTCGTGCAGATGTGAATCCACCGTGAAATGACAGCCACGTCGGCAACTGACCAGCGGTATGGACCGAGCGAGGGCGTTCCTCATGGACGGCGCCAGCGCCTTCTCCGAGTTGTAGACGGCCGGCGGTAGCAGCAGACGCTGGATGATGCTCACCACCTTCCGCAGCTCCTGCCGGTGGAAATACACAATGTGGGAATATAACGAGTACGGCAATAAGTGGATGACAGCGGTAGATAGTCAAGCCAACTTGGAAAAATAATTGAACAATAGACAGCTGTTTCAACTTTCAACGGTATTTTATGGCGCAGTATTAAAAAAAAAATACATATCAATACAGCTTGATCAATTCCATGACTCATGCGATAATTATCTGGGCTCAACAGCTCCTTAACTAAATTTGTAGCAGTTAAAAACATGGTTTACTGTCACACAATAACCGGCAAGAAATGTGTAGTAAGATGCGATCCGAGCCCGTGACACACACTACGGCATGTCCCGCTTACCAGAACGTTGATGAGGTGTTTCACCACCAGACCAAAGACCAGGAACAGGTGCGACAGACCGGGCGAGGCTGCCCGCGGACCGCGCAGGTAGGCGTCGATGAAGGCCAGGTCCGAGAAGATGGCGTTCACGCGCTCACGGCCCTCCTTACTCTGTGGGCAGGGCGGCGCGTCAGACACCAGCATCATGTACCCGAGACGTAGACGGTACCATAGACGGTCATGCAGCGCTGCCGGCGGAAAGTAAAGTAAACGTGGCATAGAGTTCGAGCTATTAAGACAATTATAACAAATGTCAATATATACAGTACACAATATCATATGAACTTTAAGTTAAAAGGAATACAAAAACCTGCATTAGAAAAGAAGTGTAAAAAAGCATGCGTAGGAAATTATATAGAAAGAATCGTAACATTAAGTGACATGTCAACATAAAAAATCACGTCGGCCAGTAAAGGAGTGAAACAGCGGATACCGGCCAGCGTCTTCATCGGGCTCACCACCTCCTTCCCCTCCCATAAGATCTGCTCCATTGCTCAATCACCCCTTCATGGACACGCTTGACTCCATCTAACCACGTGCACAATCCCTCCCACGGACCTGTTCGGCCAGCCTGGCCAGCCGCTCGGTGAACTGCCGCGCGGTGGTCGGGTCGGCTGGGGGTCCGGCCGGCACCAGCGCCGGCTCCCTGCGCGCCACGGCCGCCGTCATCGGGCCCAGCTCCGCCAGGTCGGCGCCGCCGGCCCAGCAGCGCAGCCACAGCCGCACCAGGCCGTCCCGGCCGGCGGCCAGCCGCTCCGGCGCCGCCGCCAGCAGCTCCGTCACGTACGCCGCGCACACACTGAAACACAGGCCGAGAGGAGATAGAGCAGCTTAGTCTCTTTACAAGTGCGTAATGTATCCCTCACTGTTTCGAGCATTATCATATGAATGGGACGAGTAAAACACAAGCAGAACACCGGAAAAAGGAGCGAGATCACGAACCAGTTTAATGAAATGAAAAGTAGGCAGTAGATACTGACACGGACGTTTCGTCAGACAGCTACAAGCAGCCAGGAAGAGACACCCTCCCACACAGCGCTGCCTCCCTCCGTGGTAAGAGGTAAGCGTAGCTCACCTGGGTGTGACAGTGTCCGCTGTAAAGTGGTGCAGCTCGCAGCCCGCGCCGGGCACCAGGGTGAGCGTGGCCGCCAGCTGCGCGAGCTCCGGCGGCGGGCTGGCGGACAGCGCCAGGGTGTGTAACAGCGGCGCCACTAGCCGCAGCCGCTCCGTCAGCTGACTGTACTGCTCCTTACGAGTCACCACTGTGGGCGAACGGGGGAGAAGTCAGGGCGCGGGAGGGGTCAGGGCGCGGGGAGAGATCAAGGCACGGGGGAGGTCAGGGCGAGGAGAGAAGTCAGGTCACAGGGGAAAGGTCAGGGCACGGAGAGGTCAGGGCACGGAGAGGTCAGGGCACGGAGAGGTCAGGGCACGGAGAGGTCAGGGCACGGAGAGGTCAGGGCACGGAGAGGTCAGGGCACGGAGAGGTCAGGGCACGGAGAGGTCAGGGCACGGAGAGGTCAGGGCACGGAGAGGCCAGGGCACGGAGAGGTCAGGGCACGGAGACGTCAGGGCACGGAGAGGTCAGGGCACGGAGAGGTCAGGGCAAGAGAGCGGACAGGGCATGGGGAGCGGTCAGGGCGCGGGGAGAGGTCAGGTCAAAGACTACCCAGGCAGAGCCACCATCATCGACAGTACGAACTGCTAACGCGACTGCGAGTAATGGGTAGTGTCGTTCGATAGAAAACAAATATACGGGTGAGCTTGTTCGATGAGCTACGGTAAGCCGGTGCTTGAGTATAATACGCTTATAACGAAGTTTCAGTACACGTTCATCCGACAGCTATTACTCACTCGATACGTAAAACCAATGATCTAGGATAAGTCACGACGCGAGGCACCATCACAAAGCGACTTCTGCCTCTCCCGTGCCCTGCTCCGTACCTTCCGTGTCCACGATGTGTGCCATGGGTTGCAGCTGCTGGATATTTCCCAGCAGTTTTCCGGCGATCTGCAGCAGCACGGAGAGGCCGCGGGCCAGCTCCGACGGACCACAGCAGCCCAGGTACGCACGCCACCCGGACGCTGCCAAAAAGAGTGACAAATGTCAACGACAGGTCAAGGTGGTATTTTTATACGATGCTTGTAGTCGTGTCAATGTTAATACAATTTATACCGAATGAAGCCAGCGAAACCTTTTTCACAAAGCCAAACGCACGCTACCCTTCGCGTCATGTACCTATTTATGGTCTCTTATGAACACTTAGCAGTCAGCAACCCAGCACCCTCCTAGCCTAGCTGTTGACCGGCGCCCAGTTCTCCACTCACTGACGAGCTGGTACTCGGACTTGTCGATCCGCGGACTGGCGCGCACTAGTTCCGAGCACTCCTCCCAGTAGGCAGCGACCAGAGCCGGAGAAAACGGCCGGGCGTCGGCGGCCGCACGCAGCTCCCGGTCCGCCTGCGCGGCGGCCGCGGCGGCCACAGCGCCCACGTCCCGGCCGGACTCCTGGGAACAGGGGAAGGTCAGGCCACTACTGGGACCACAGTGCACAATGCACATACCAGCTGACAAGCAGGAGCGGCCTTAAACAGACCACCAAACACCCGCAGTATGAAGGAATAGCATGAATATGAGTTCCTATCGTAACTTCAAAAGAAGCGAGATAAGCTATGAAACTCGCTCAATAACGCAGGACGCAAAAAAACTTGGAATTACATTTTAAGTAAGCGCGTGCACATTTAAATGCAATAATCTACAATCATGTGCCCGGTGTGAAAAGGTACGACTTGTCTGGCAATATGCAAAGCTAGCACTACCTGATTCAGCTTACCAAGAGCAGGTGAGCGGCGGCGAAGTAGGCTCGACAGACAAGGATCTCGTGAGCCGACGACTCGCTGACCTGAGACAGGAACGAGATGAACTTGTCCACCTGAAACGCAGGGTCAAAGTTGAGTTTTGCCACTGCATATCTTATCACCTCATCTCATCTCATTACCAGAAACTGCACTTCTCAGTTTATTGTAAACATGCCGCTTAATTCAGTCTACGGCCGCCTGACCGTTTGCTTATAACTAACTCGTCAATGCGTTATGAGATACAGTTTCAAGTCTTATAAATAATTAAAACAAATTTAAAGCATCCACCCAAATCCCGGCTTCTGTCTCTACTAGCAGCGACCACATCCAACTGCCTCTCCTATCCCCACCAAGCCTCCATGACCCTCTTCCCGTCACCCACCAGCTGTAGGTCGTCGGGCACCAGGTGTATCAGCGTCAGGAACAGTGTGCAGGCGGCGCGCAGCCCTGCCGCCGACAGTTGCACCGCCCGCTTGGCGTGCAGTCGGAGCAGCACGCGGCCGCGCAGCTGGCGCCAGCAGTCGGCGCCGGCCGCCAGCTGCGCCGGCAGCAGCAGCAGGTACTGGCCGAAACTGTCCTCGGGCGGCGGCGGCTCCGAGACCGACTCCCACCAGCGCCGACCCGACCGGCTGGCAGAGAGCAGGGCGAGGTGAGGTTCGATGATGAATTATGGTCACAAACTGCTGCATCATCCAGCCAGAAACACCACCCAGTTGAGAACGGAACTAATACTAGGCACCACAGGCACTACTTGAAATATAACACTTGATAGCTTCGGGCAATTTTCTAACGTAGGTACTCAACTCTAAACGGGCTAGCTGAAGATATCACGTCTAGCCACCTGCTACAACTCACGGCACTGTGGAGGTCATCTGGAGGACGGAGACGGGTCCGGGCGGCTGCGGCCTGACCAGCCGGCGCACCACTACCTCCCAGAGCGTGTTGGAGAGCGCCGGCGTGGCGCCCCAGAGCTCAGTGAGCCGACCGCACAGCGCCAGCACACAGCGTAGCCGCCGCTCGCCGCCGGCCGGATCCTCTGTCTCCGCGGCGCCGGCGGCGGCCCAGACCAGAGACAGCAGCAGCGACGTGTTACGGTCACACTGTGACAGACAGGGGGCGTGTTACGGTCACACTGTTACGGACACAGGTGTTACGGTCACACTGTAACGGACACAGGGGATGTGTTACGGTCACACTGTGACAGACACAGGGGACGTGTTTTGGTCACCCTGTAACAGACACAGGGGACGTGCTACGAACTTACGGTCACCCTGTAACGGACACAGGGGGGGGGCGTGTTACGGTCACACTGTGACGGACAGCAGCGGGGACATGTTTCGGTCACACTGTAGCGGACACAGATGACGTGTTTTGGTCACCCTGTAACAGACACAGGGGACGTGCTACGAACTTACGGTCACCCTGTAACAGACACAGGGGACGTGCTACGAACTTATGGTCACCTTGTAACAGACACAGGGGGACGTGTTACAGTCCCACTGTAATAGAAACACTGAAGGGTTGGTGGCGGCTCTGTGCATTACCGAGAGCCGTTTGAGCTACATGTCCAGCCAGATTAAAGAACCATGCAAGATATAAAATGGATATTGGACAGAGATTACGCCCGGTGCCGCCGGAGTCCGATGAGGCTGTTGTTTTGGCCCACGTACCGTGAGGTCAGGTTTGAACGTGTCCTGGTCGTCGTACCGAAACACGTCACTCAGAGAAGACATGAGCCAGGTGAGGAACAGCGGCGCCTCTGACCACTCCGTCTCCATCAGCGGAAACTGGAAACAACACGGCACGTCAGCAAGATAACGGGAAGGCAGCGCCCGCTGCTTCCAACAAAATGTTACCCTAATGGGGATCAACCACAAACTTTATGCAATAATTGCCGATTCATTTATAACAGACTAGAACAACATTTCAATGACTATAAGGAAATTTTCTATAAGTGACAATGAAGTTTCATTGCTGGAAAATTATCAAAGCGTCTTCTCTTCTTTCAAGTCACATCACCCACGCAATCACCCTCCCTGGTGCATCTTCGCTCAGTCCGCTCACCTCATCGGCCAGGGTGGCCTCCGGGAAGGGTGGCGGCGGGGTGAGGATGCGGGCAAACAGCGGCTCCAGTTCGGCCCACAGGCCGGCCGGCCCGCCGGGGCCCGTCGCCGCCGAGCGCCCGCCGGGCCCCAGCAGCCGCCGCAGCGCCAGCCACGCGCCCTTCTCACAGCCGCAGGAGAACGCACAGGTGTCGGCCAGTTCGGCCAGGGGCGTCTGCACGCAGGGCGGGAGCAAGGGGTGTCGGTCACGCCAGCGAACAACAGCCATTGCGTTTCGCGTGTTGGATAAAAGAGTCTGGTACGAACTACGACTAATTTAGTTTGAAACCTGTTGAATTGCTAGACAAAGAGCAACGCAACGTCAAGCACTATTGCCACTATGACCATTTAAGATCCAAATAAATCAGAAAACCGTAAGAGCAATTCTCCAAACAGGCTGCCTCCGCAGCGGCCACCGGTCGCCTCTCACCTCTCTCATCTTGTTGTGCGCCAGAACGGCCAGTTCCCAGGCGAGCGCGTGGGCGGCACGGCGCCACCGGTGCCGGCCGGGCACGGCGGACAGCCAGGGCACCGTCGGTCCGCCGGGCGAGTCGCGCGGCGGCGGCTGGTCGCTGAGATCGCTCAGCCGGGCCAGCGCGGACACGGAGAGCACACGCAGGTCCAGCCGCAGGTGGAACAGCTGGTGGGCGCGCGAGACCAGCGTCTGCAACGGTATGACGAACGATCAGGGTCAGACGGGACCGCACTGACGGGGCTAGATGGGACCGCACAGACGCGGGTGCTAGATGAAACGACACGGCAGGGTTACGTTAGGACCGTTCGAACTCCCGGAGTCAGGTGAGCCCGAACGGTTAGGTCAGGTGGGACGGACGGCTCGAGTTACACTGAATCGCACGGCAGAGGCCGTAATCGGGACCCAAGGCTGGGGACAAATGGGACGGGACGGCCGGCGTCGATTCACCAGAGGCTGCATAAGGAAGTTGAGAAAGGTGGTCGAGAAACAATCATTCGACAGGCCGTGCGCAATGGCTGAATATCTGGCAGAAAACGCAGCGAAGGAAATCAATGAATGATAATTGAATGGCTTGCATATGATGCTATCTACCGCCAGATTGATCAGACTGCAGAATAGATCCATTATGCCCACTCCTAATGTTTACCGAGCTACAGCAGTTGCGCTACGCTGCAGCACGCCTACTAACTACTGATTACCACCAGCCATTCAGTCCACATGCTACAGACTGGCACACGGAAACCGGCAGCTCTGCGACGGAGCGACGACTGACCGGGTCGTGGCAGAGCTCGTCGGCTGGTCCCGGCGGCGCCACGTAGCCGACGCGCCGGTGCAGACGGTGCAGTCCGACCTCGACCTCCTGGCGCCACCCGTCGTCGGTCAGCGCGCCCCGCCTGACGGACGGAAAACACGTCAATGCCCAGCTACGCACCACATGGGCTAAATGGACTGGGTGGAGTAACATGCGATTAAATGAAACTGAAGGTTTGTCTAACATTGATATCTCAATACACATGACGAGGAGCTGCCTGAGCGCCCTAAAATCTCGGCAAACAAAGCAAACAAACAAAACAAACGAACATGAGTCATGACAGTGACTTACTGGTCTATATAGTTGATAAGGGCCCGCATCTTGTTGGTAGCTTTCTGACGTATGCTGTAAAACTCCTGACGCTCATTTCGTGAGTTGGAGCAGGCCACAGCAGCACACTCGACTTCTAGAGTGTATGATGCTTGAGCCATGGAGAGCAGCAAATGCTCGAGCTCCTGACACTGCCGATCAGAGCGAAAAAGGGTCATAACCGACGGTCAGGGCGATATAATAGCTGACTGGTACCTTACTCCTAGGGATCTATGTCTGATATTCACCATTGCCAGAACAGGAGTGGGAAATTTTGACACGGTTCTTCTCATGTCAGGCCACTATGTTCGACTGTTGATCAGTGACTTGATTCTGCTCAAAAGAGCAGCAGATGCTTCCCGATCCGGCACCCAGGCTCACCTCATTCAGCGGCAGGCAGATTGCGGGCTGGGCCGTCTCCAGAGAGAGCTGCTGTCTGACAGCACCACCCCGAAGCAGTGCCCGACCGGGACAGGTGAGCACAGCCTCCTGGCCCTCCTGGGCTGGAGCTCGTCGAGCTGGCAATCACAGGTGGCATCAGTGAGCCACAGGTGGCATGGACAGTACTGGACAAAATTGTGATGAATATTGACAGCACTGCATCAAAATGTCCTAAACATTTGGCAGGCACTGCACAGTACATACACAGTACACACCCATTTGCCTGCAAAATACGTAGGTAAACAAGCTGCATCACTAGGCATATTATATATTAAATATATTATAATACAGCAGTAGGAGCTAAATCTCACCATGGTTTCTGGCCTTTTCCTGTTTTCTGCCTCCAAGGCTGCCAATCAGGGGAGATCCTGGTGGGGAGGCACTTGGAGAGGAACCAGCTGAATACAAGTTACACTCGGTCCATGTTGTGCTGAGTCCATGCTCATCAGAGCTCATCGCAGCTTCTGTTACAAATTAGTGGAGCATGGTCAGTGAAATGAACTGGAGGTAAATATCTGAGTCATGAGCATGAGCCTCTAGGGTGAAACCAGTGCAGCAGAATCTTCTGAGTTCTGAATAAATCCACGTTGGTAGCACGACGTTTTGGATTTATTAAGCGGTGGCTTTACTAACCGGAATAATAATTTTCATTCGAAAAGTGTGCATCGCAGCTCCACAGTTAACTACATAATGGTGTTCCACATTTAACAATCAGTTGCCTAATGCCTTGGATGGTAGGCTGTGCCTTATCACGATGACTGAAAGACACAGTTGAATGCTGTGACCCAATCGTCGCCATAGATGCGATCAATTGTGTGATAGGCGGCACAGTACGCCGTAATACAAGCGGATATGCTAACACTCCTCATTGTCATTGTCCATTTATTCCTATGGAAGTGACCAGCGCACACTACAAAGCTGTCCCAGCAAGCGATGTGCCGTGAAACAATTCCCTTGCCCGAAATTCCGGGCCACAAAAATCAGCGGAACGGTGCGTTCGAGGCTGGCACCTGGCGGGCGCAGCAAGGGCCGGGCAGCGGAGCAACACGTGCCCCGACACATCAGCCTCTTCTTAGCACATGGCGCAGAGCGTTGCGGGGCAATGGGCAACACTTGTCTGGGCACTGCTGGCACGCCTCGGAAGGGCGACGGCACCGAAGCGAGCGGCCCCAGTGGCCCAGGCCCCGCCCTCACCTGATGCACCGAAACGGCGTCCTCTCAGTTCTCTCCGGGGATAGGGAGCGGCGGCGTGCTCCCGAGGAGTGGTTTGAATAGTGACTCGGACCAGTTGACGTGCCATTGATGCGAGGCCGTACAATGAACCATCTGGGTCAGCGAGCGGGTGTCGGAGGGCAGGGCCGAGGGCGGCCGCTTGTTTCGCCAGGTGACGGTCGTCAGCGCTCTCATTCCTCCCGATACTGCATTGGGCAGGAACCCACTCATTGCAGTATTACTCCGCAATGCTCTGCAATATCAATATTCAATAAAGTCTTCCAAACTCATCTCCGCCCCAAGGGTGGAGGCCTCACTTGGGCGGCCGATCCTCCGCTGAGTACTCAGGGCGGCTCACTAGTTCGAGCATGCGACGACCAGGGCGGGGACATCTCCTCCCAACCAAACACACTCCAGGGCGGTGTTTCACGGGACGCTGCTACCACGCTGCTATCAAATTGCGCGAGCTGACGTCACACTTGTGGTAGCGCTGGAGCAATGGGCCTGTTGATGTTTCCATGGAAACCCAATTTGACACGTGTAAAAGCAGCGTGCTGCTATCACCGGTGAAACAGGGCCCTGAACAAGTCCAGAGCCGAGCCAAATCTGCGGTTAGATTTATCAGCCTGCCAAGTCTACTGACTAAATTCTGTGACTGCCATTCGCCAAAAATTATGTGGCCGCCCTGCACAGAAAAATATGGTTGCCACCATGTGCTGAATTTGATGCATGCAAAATTATGGCAGACATGCACTGAAACTTTTGGCGCAATCCCACCACTGACTACAGGCCATTTAACGCCGGAAATAAGACATATTCAGCATAACATGTATTTTTCCAGTCTGGGGAAAGATGTTACTGCAGACTGCAAAACTCGCACCTGGTGGCTTTATTGAGTGGAGACTGGAGTAGCCAGAATTATTAAGCGGATAAGACAAAAATGTTACACGAAAGTTGAAACTTGAAACTGGCAGCATGTCAATACAAATCACTCATACTAATATGACTCGAAATGGCTCAAAGCATGCATAGCATACAGACAACAGAACTAAAACGGTTCAAAATTGTAGGGTATTTGTTCAGAAAAGGTCCAATCTATATTTGTGGCGCCGTTGATATACGAATATGCAGCATAAGGCTAGGTCAGGTTTGATGGTAAATGTCAAGTTTAAGTCCTAAGCAGATTTCATGGATAATTTTTTCATATTTTTACATAATTTGACATCCTGAATCCAAAAATGATACTCCTATGTGTCTCGCAAATAAAAGAAAAACAATCCAAACCTGACCTAAACTTGACATTTCACATTTCAACTGTAGCTCAAGTTTCAATAGTTCAATGCAACCAAAAAGTAGAAGAAGGGGTATTGCACGGTTTATCTTGATTGCACCTCAATTATGTAAGTTCAAACAGGACGAAAAGAACCGACACACATAAAATGTCTTATATCAAACTCAAATGAAATCAATTCAAATTGCACCCAGCACCTTCGTCAACTTTTTTTTCGAATTGTCCGGTCCCGCGCACAAAATCAAGCGGTGTTCGTTCACAGTTCCCCGTAACTGCATGATGGCAGTCCTCCGCTTTTCATTGGTGAAATTTGCGCAATCTCTGCTGACCACCAATGAGATTCAGAGTTTTGCCGACAGAAAAGCTCCAAAAGCAGCATGCTGTCAATAAAATAAACAGGGCACGAATTATGCTCAACAATTCAAGTTTGCTTAAAAAATATATGAATATAAACGTCATACATTTTTTGCCTTTTCTTGATAAATATTATGCAATGAATTCGAACAGGTAACAGTTCAACTAAAATTTAATGCTTTTCTTTGTTCGAAAAAAAAACATAAAATAAGTCAAGCATCATATATCCTTGCAACATAAATTTTAAAGCCTTTTTGTGAAATTTTATGATTTATTACCTATGACGTCATAATATATCTAGCCAGCGTTGTTCAACGCAGGGGTTCAACGCATAAGTAAAGCAGCAAAGGCATGCCGCATGCGGTGCGTCGTGCGCATGGCATATGCATTTGTTTGTAATTCAAATTTGTTGGTACTTAATCGCCTTGTCATCGCCTATTTGTATTGAGTATGTGCATTTGTACTATTGAGTATTGAGTATGTGCACTTCGCATGTGCCGAGTTCAGTGCATGGCGGCATCGGATTTTTTTCGGCGCAGGGCGGCCACATAATTTTTTGGGGAAAACCCTGGCGCTGCTCAGTCACAATTTTTTAACCAGCAAGCTGCGAGCATGCTGCTGTGGCTGCAGATTGTCTCATTCTGAGTTTAAAAACGTGGAGGCGCTGACTCCATTTGGCGCGGACAAGGGTGTTTGCGCCTGCCGTCTCATGTTCGAAATGCACTGAAGTCCAGCATGTGGGCCGGGCCTGTTCCAGCGCCTCCAGAAACCTCCTGAAAGCTCCAGAAAGCTCTAGGGCCTGTTCCAGCGCCTCCAGAAACCTCCAGAAACCTCTAGAATCCTCCAGAGAGCATTCCAGCGCCCCCAGAAAGCTCCAGAAAGCTCTCGCCAAAGCTCCAGAAACCTCCAGTAGCCTCCAGAGAGTTGGGAGGTCCAAATTTCTCTGGAGGCTCTGGTCTACAATTATGGCGCACATGTGACAATCACGAATGTAAACAAAGGACTCTTGACTGATTATTTTACAACTTCAATGTAAAGAAAATTACATTGTTATAATTTTGTTAATCATTCTTAATAAAATTGAAAACAAATTTTGCGTTTCAAGAGAGAACAATCGTAATTCTTTTGGTATCTGTGATGCCAATCTCCAGAAATCTCCAGATTGCGTTCCAGCGCCTCCAGTGAAACCTCTGGTAGAGCCTCCAGTCAAGAATTTTTACTGGAGGCGCTGGAACAGGCCCTGTGATGCCAATCTCCAGAAATCTCCAGATTGCATTCCAGCGCCTCCAGTGAAACCTCTGGTAGAGCCTCCAGTCAAGAATTTCCACTGCAGGCGCTGGAACAGGCCCCTAGAATCCTCCAGAGAGTGTTCCAGCGCCTCCAGAAAGCTCCAGAAAGCTCTCGCCAAAGCTCCAAAACCTCCAGTAGCCTCCAGAGAGTTGAGAGGTCCAAATTTCTCGGGAGGCTCTGGTCTACAATTATGGCGCACATGTGACAATCACGAATGTAAACAAAGGACTTTTGACTGATTCTTTTACAACTTGAATGTAAAGAAAATTACATTGCTATAATTTTGTTAATCTTTTTCAATAAAATTGAAAATAAATTTTGCATTTCAAGAGAGGCCAATCGTCATACTTTTGGTAATTGGTATATGTGATTGATGCCAATCTCCAGAAATCTCCAGATTGCGTTCCAGTGCCTCCAGTGAAACCTGTGGTAGAGCCTCCAGTCAAGAATTTCTACTGGAGGTGCTGGAACAGGCCTTGCCCATTTAGCCCATCTGGGACCCAGTTGGAACTTGGAAGCCCATGACATGCCCAGATGAAGCCCAGCCCACATTCGCCCAGATTCCCCACTTCTAGCCCATGTGGGCCCCATTTGGTATGGCTGGCTGGGCTGGTGAAGTGTAATCCACTTTTTTAGCATACAGACAGGGTATCCCAAAATTAATGTCACCCTCCCACAACCTTTATTTTGCTTTCTATGGCGCAATATTAATATAATTTCGCCGGTACTTGCTCCCAGACCATATTGGCTACATTCAAATCACGCGACCTTTGAATTTTTGTAACCCTGACCGGTCAAGGGGTGTATATAGTCTGTCTTTAAAGTACCGCTTGACAGTGCGGGGGATCCATCAAGCCTGACCGAGGAAGGGCCTGCTAATTTGAGTCACCGAAGCAATTGACATCCTCGTCCATTCCCCAGGTCAATTGGTTCGGTGACTTTCAAATTATAGCAGGCCCTTCCTCGGTCAGGCTTAATGGATCCACCGCACTGTTGCACGGTACTTTTAAGTCTGACTGTACGGAGGTCATTTTCGGGGGCCCGCAGTACCCAGCTCGCGCGGACCAGTTGTCCAGCATGGCAAAACTGCAGAGCAAATCGTCCCGCAGCGGGGCAGTCGGCATGGTTGCCGGCGGCATGACCCACGGCCAGGTCGCCGAGGCACTGGGTATGAGTTGCCGGCTGCCGCACGATTTGGTGCTGGTTGTCACGCGACATGAGCGGATAGACGCCTGAGAACAAGCTAGGTCGCGGCAGGAAGGCTTAATCCGGCAGCCGGGTAGCGTAAATCGTCATCGCGAAGTGCGGAGCTAAAGACGGGCTTATCCGCAATGAAACTGGCAATGAGGCTGATTGCCAACAGTAAGCCAGTCTCCAAGTCGACAATCCATCGTTAACTGAGGTCTCTGAAGCTGAAGCCCACCAAGCCACGTCTCCAGCCGAAAACTTCTGCTGAACATGTCCAAGGCCATCTTTTAACAGGTCGGTGAGCCGGCTCATCGACCACGGCTTAGTTTCTAGAGTCCAGAGGGCAAAACCTATAAAATAGCAGATTTCCAAAACTTTTTCTGCAATAACTTTTGACTCGATTGAGTCACAACATTACGTTTGCCAATTGTGTTTCTCTTGTTGAGATGCGTCGAATGTACTATAACTTGATCTTGAAAGGTCATTTGGAAAACTTGACCGCAGGTTAAGGTCATGACCTGACCGGAAAAGATCATGATACATATCAGTAATCAGTTGATCTGTATCGTCGAGCTGAACACATCTGAGGTGTTTTCGTCGTTAAAGGAAAAGGGCCACCTTTAACATGGGGATTGAAACTGAGATAGCCATCTTGTAGCCCGTGTCCGAAAACCTATCTGTATACCTCCTTACGGCCGATTTCGGCCTCCATTCGTAGTTATCGACAATTTTAAAAGAAAATACGCCAGGAATGCGTCCTTATCCCAGGAATGCGTTCTTATCCGACAATACAGCCACCCGCGGCGAGGCTTTGGTTTTTTACCAATCAGCTCCAACCAGCTCAGCTTTAACCAATCAGCTTATCTGACACAATCCGACGAGTCTGTCTTCTGAACGCTGATTGGCTTGAGTGTGACGTCATCGCTATGCCATCATACAGTAGGTGCCGTAGAGAGTATCAACATAGTACCAATATGTTAAATAGTTTTAAATACTTTTTCGCGAATTGTGCACTTCTGGCACCAGTTTTAAAAAGAAA